CCTTCTAAGATTATGGAAACAGACAGTGCAATCCTACAAAAAAAAAGTTTTATTTAGAAGCACTAGTTTTGTCTAGATTAGGGGTCTCAAAACTTTTCAGTATGAGGGCCACATCATATATTTTACACATTTTTGAGGGCCAGAGGAAGGAAGGGATCACTCACTTTGCAAAGACAGCAGGAGTGGGGGATCGCTTCGGTCAGGCTTTGCTCCTCTTGCTATCTCCGCCCAGTTTGGACAAACCCAAACCAACATGAACCAACAAATCAGTGATTTTCCACAAACTTCCTAGTTCATTTTTTTGGTTTGTGCCCATCTCTAGTCTTCATCCATTGGAAGTATAATGAAATTCAGACAATGGGTTAGATTAAATGTAGTTGAGCTTCCAATGGGCCAGCTGGAAAAAAAACATTCTTCACTTTTCAGTTCCATTGATTTCAGGTGGGCTATTCTAAAGATGACTAACCCACTGGAACCAACCCCCGTTTTAAATTTCTGCCCAGTTTTCAAGCTGTTGTCAGAACTACCACCAAATACAAAAAAACAAAATGCTGGAAATTATAAAGGACCATTACTTATTCTTATTAATTATTATTTATTCATAACATTGCTTTAAACAACCATACTAGCAGGTATAAGACTACATTGGGATGATGATTGCCGCCTGCTATGCATTCTTAAAATGTGAATTACAGCCTAAGGGGAGGGCTGCATCTGATACAATCATCTCTTCAGTTCTTACTTTCCAACTAAGCACATTCCATACTATAGCATTTACCAGAAAGGTTTGTGTGCGTGCCTGCGTTTCTAATAATGGTGTTATTTATCAATAGCCGTTAATGTAATGAGGTTGAAATGGAGAGATACCTTGTGCTTCAAAAAAATAGGAGAGAAAGTCCAGAAGCAAAATGCTCCCCAGATAGGCCAACAGATCAAGCCCCCACACTTTTGAAACTCTTAAATAAAGGAGGAATAAAAAATATCCCAGAGTCACAAAGGCAGACGCAATGTTTGGTCAGCCACCTGAGATTTTCTGTAAGAATGGTCCCTGGGGTCATCGGTTTGATGGTCTGTGGCAGGATCCCGCGGTGCTGTCAGAACATCACATCCCCTCATGCCTCTAAAGAGCCCAAAAAGGCACTGAAATACATTCTCTTAGCTAGTCCCAGTGAAAGTCCTTCTAGTTATATAAGACATGGCCTGTGGCAGAAATGTATTTTCCATTAGCTTCTTGTGAAGAACAAGGAAGAATTTATTTTCCCCCAGTTTTGTCAAGCTTGACAAACTCCAACCAGCTTTTACAGATATTTATTTCTCATCCGAGATGCAAGCTCTACACGGGGGGAAATCTATTTGGTATTGGACTCTCTTCACATGGAACACAGAAGTTAAAATTCTGTTTGTTTTCACTACGTATGTATAAATCAGCTGCAACCCAGGGAGGGTGGGGCAGCTTTCATGCCCCTTACTTCAGTAGGTATTCACTACCTACTTACACAAGTGGAAATCTCCCTTGCTCTAAAAAGGGAGAAATTCCCTGCTCACATCACTGGGAACTAGAATTCTCATGGGTTTTACCCATCCCTTCCTGTGGGGCCACTCTGGGTTTGTACAGTGGACCCTCGACTTACGGAACCTATCCCTTCCTATGGGGCCACTCTAGGTTTGTACAGTGGACCCTCAACATACGGAATTAATGCGTATTGGTACGGTGGCTGCAGGTCAAAAAGTCTGTAGGTCAAGTCTCCATTGAGCTACAGTGCATTGAAAACCGATTAATCCCGTAACAGGCCGTTTTTGTTCCATTTTGGGTTTTTTTCCGGTCTGTAGGTCGATTCTTCGGCTGCAAGTCGAACCTAAATTCTGCGACCAGAGAAGTCTGTAACTCAAAAAGTCTGTAAGTGGAGCCGTCTGTAAGTCGAGAGTCCACTGTATAGCCCACCCAAGTTCACACAGGGGGGAAATCAAATTCTGACTGCTAGTGCTTGAACTCAGTAAGCTATCCAGCCAACCACACTTCACTGCCCTCTGCTCTAAGGACTTCTACCACATTCTGCTGCATTCAGGGGTTAGACAGGTTGTGACCAAAGGCATGTTCTCACAGGCATGTTTGAGGAACCCATCAGAGAAAGCCTTCTTCATGGTTGCTCCCAGGTTGTAAAACTCCCTTGTCAGGTGTCTGACCACTAAGGAAGGGGCTTTTGGCACATGGACGCTTGTTTTTCCTTCTTTTGACGTACCTTAACATTTGCTTTTAATACAAACATAATTATTTGATTCATTGTGTTTTAATATTATAAGTCACTGTATTTTTACTGTGTCTGGTTTTTAATCATGTTGAGTGTTACCTTGAGTCAGGACAAATACATAAATAAAATTCTAGGTCCTTTTTCGTATTGGATCCCTCCTTGAAAACTATCCTCTCCAGATAATGATAACGAGGCCAGCTTTATCATCATTATGCCACCAAGTGAAAGAAGGTTAAGGTTTTGATCAAGGTTGCAGATCTTATGTTTAGCTGTTTTTGTATTAGATGAACACTCTTCTTCAAACTTGCTCTTAATGAAGGAACCTGGTGGGCAACTGCCCATGATTTTTTGCAGCTGTTGTGTTTTTTTCTGCACCAACCACCACTCTGTCATGCCGAATCTGGTGGAGCTGCAGACCAGTGGTTCCCAACCTTGGTTCCCCAGATGACTGTGGACTAAAAATTCCCAGAAGTCTTAGTCATGAGTTGTGCTAGCCCAGTACCATCTGGGGACTCAAAGTTGGGAAGCACTGCTGTAGAGGATCAAAAGCTAGCTTATGTTTGTGATTTTTGTATGTGTGTGGTTTAATAAAAATATCTCCTACTCTTCAAATTGTGTACATAGATGACAACGCTTTCCCCCTTTTTTGTTGCGCTACAGAAGGCACCCCAAACAGCCAACCAGAACACCAATTTAACTCCACCTAAAAGGGGCTACAAAGAAACGACAACATCTTCATCTGGCCACTAGGCAATACTTTGAATTTGGCTGCAATTAGCTCACATAATGCATAGCTTCCATTTTGTTCCAGCTCTTCTGATATAAGATATGATAGTTTTCTTGTGCTTCTAAGGAGCCTCGTGGTGCAGTGGTTAAACTGCTGTACTGCAGCCAAAACTGTGCTCACGACCCAGAGTTCAATCCCAGGTAGCCGGCTCAAGGTTGACTCAGACTTCTATCCTTCAGAGGTCGGTAAAATGAGTACCCAGCTCGCTGGGGGAGGGCAATGCGTAGCCTGCATAATTAACTTGTAAACCGCCCAGAGAGTGCTTGAAGCGCTATGGGGTGGTATATAAGCAGCATGCTTTGCTTTTGCTTTTGCTTTGCTTTGCTACTATTCCAGCCAGAGGATCTTTTTGTTTCAAGGGGCAGAATCTGTTCTCAGTTATCCCAGAGTGCAGGATGCATAATAATGGGCTCAAGTTATGGGATGTCAGACTTAGGCTGAATATCAGAATAAACGTCTTAAATGTTAGAGCAGTACAACAATGGAACCAATTACCTCAGGACGTTGTGAGAACAATGCTGGAGACATTCAAGAGAAAACTGGACAACCATCTATCCAATTTGTTTTGATTTGGATTCCTGCATTGAGCAGGGGATGGACTTGATGGTCTTACAGGCCCCTTCCAATTCAATTATTCTATGATTCTATGATTAATGGTTGCTAAGAATGCTGGATGACTGTCAACCCGCTGTCTAACAAGATTGGGGAAAATATTCTAATCCACAGCACTAGAGTTGACAGCTGAAGCCCACAACTTGAGACTGCAGTTTCCATTTTGAGGTTTGCTTTTAATAAAGAAGTCTAACACATATGTGCCACTATGATTTTTGGAATTGTGTTTCTTCTAACCACCCACAACTTGGTGGTGCCCAGCCATAAGGAGTTAAAAACTGCCTTGTGTTAGTAGTGACTTAGTTGTCTAATAAAAGTATTGCCCACCCTTGCCTTCAGATTATGAAGAACCTGAAGGCTCATTAAGTGGAAAAGTGGGCTATGAATAAAGAAACAAACAGTTATCAGATGGGAATGTGAGAGTCTTCAGATTCCTACTGTGTTCAATTTTCATCCTAATCTGTATGTACAGCATTTTGAATAAAGAAACAAACAGTTATCCCATGGGAATGTGAGAGTCTTCAGATTCCTATTGTGTTCAATTTTCATCCTAATCTGTATGTTTTGTAGTTCGCCAAATTTGAAAACAGACAAAGCTCTTTATTTTATTTATTTTTTTAAACACCTACAATAGCCAACAGTGTCTCCTGTGGAAGCTAACAATCAAATTATTTTTTAAAAAATTAAATCATTTCATTCAGCCAGGCAAACCATGACTACGGTTTCCAAAAAATAAAATAAAAATACAGGCAAGCAGACACTGTTCAGTTTTGCCAAGCAAACTGGGCTTTCACACCAAACTTGGAAAAGTCTCTCTCTTTCTCTCCAGCCCTCAGATTCCCCAGCCAACCTGGCATTTTTCCAAGCTCTGCTTTCTCACTATACCATCCTTGGCTTGCTCATCTTCTAACAGAATGCTTCGATAGCTTCCTAAACTGCTGGCAAAGAAGCACCCCTCCTACTGCCACACTGGCACCAGCTAGAGCCTCCTAAGCTGTGGATTACCCAGAAGACCTGTAGTCAGCTTGGAAAATGTCAGGTACTTCTTAGCTCTGTAGTTCATCAAGCACATCCCGGCCTTTAGAGAAAGTCTTGGAAGCAGTTCTGTCTTGCAGTTCTCATCCAAGCAGCAGCATAAAGTGCTATATATTCACCAGTGAAATAATATAAGAAGAGCCATGCTGGATCAAACCATGATTAAGAGCGATGATAATGGTCATGGCAATTCTATGAGTGATTGGATCATATATTCACATTTCTGCCCGCAAACCAAACACATGTCAATAACTTGCAGCTGCATAAGGTTAGAAAAATGTGGTGGCCAGACTAGTGGCTGGTGTGAGGAAGTTTGACCATATGATCCCAATTCTGGTTCACCTGCACTGGTTACTGATCCGCCTCCATGCCAGGTCATAGTTTTAGCCCTCAATGTTTTGGGATCTCACTACTTGACTGAAAATCTTCTGCCAAGTTTGACTGCCCGTCTGACCCGGTCTTCACAGACCGCACACCTGTAGGTGTTAACTCCAAGAGAAGGCAGGAAAAAATTAACCAGAAACCAGGCTTTCTCTACAGTGGTGCTATCTCTACAGAATCTTCTCCCACAGGAAATATGACAGGCACTCCTCCCTCTGGATACTAAGAAAGCTCCTAAAGACAGAACTATTCAGAGAAGTCTTTGGGGAGAATCTCCCCCAAAAGCCAGGAAATTGGGGGAAGGAGGAGAGGAATAATGCAATAGTATGTCCTGGAAATTGTTTTCCTGCTTGCTTTAGGTTATGATTTACATTTGGGATAGCTTATTGTTTATATGATTACATAATGTACGTTTAATTTGTTGCACACCTCCCGCAGTAACAATCTGCTGGATGGGGTGGTCTATAAATTGAATGAATAAATGTATGAACGAATCAGCAAACAAACAAATTACAATTACTAGTCACATTTATGCTACAGAAATCCCTCAGAGGATTTGGACCTTTCCTTATTGACCTTCTGTGAAATAGTCAACATCTTCCTTTCTAGGAAGGTCTCCAAATTATTTTACCTTTTGTTTTGACTGCTTGTTTTGAATAACTGGTTTTATTGGATTGTTTTGTGGTTTTAATTATTGCATTTCTTGCTGATGGTTTTTCTTCTAAACATTTATAGTATTTGAAGAGGGATATTAATGAGCTTTTAAAAACTGTATTTCAAGTAGTGTTTATGGAAACAGTGAGAATTCTATGTCTACCAGGAATGTTGGAAGATAAATTCATTAAAAAACAAAGAACCCTGAGGGGGGTCTATAAATGTTTCCTCCAACTCAGTTTCCAGATGTCATTTATGCCCCCCATGAACTGCTTAATGAAGCACAACCCCTCCTTCTATTTCCAGTGACCAAGCTTTGAGTGCCATTGTTTATTAGTGGCAATGCATCACCCATTCAAAAGAGAAAAGTATTGGTAGGTTTATTTATTTATTTATTTATTTATTTAATTTATATCCCGCCTATCTAGTCCAATGGACTACTCTAGGCGGCCAACTCTAGGTTGGCGTGAACTCCAAATTTCTGTAACAAAAATCCCTAGAACAGTGTTTCCTAACCTTTTTCAAGCCATGATCCTCTTTTATAAAAGCCAAATAAACTGAGATCCCCATCATCTTTGCATAAAAAGATATTTTTAATGTGGTAAGGAATCTTCACAGCAATCCACTAAGGACTGAACATGCTCAGCAGCCATATCATGTGACTCAACTCAGGGTAGGTGGGGAGAGATAGAAAACTAGGAACTGGGGCCATGGACTGGAATGGATTGACCTTGAAATGGCAAAATACTTTGTTTCACATCCAACATTTCATTTCAATGAAGATTTCTAATAGCCTCCCTTACTAAAAACAACACAGTCTTCTCCTTTCTGTCTCCTCTCGTTCCTTGATTTCTTTCCTTCCTTGATTTCTTTTTTTCCAGTCGGAGGCAGAGAAAGATTTCAATATAAATAGTTCAAAGCAAGGAAATTAGATTTTCTATAGTAGTAAGCACACACACACACACACACACACACACACACACACACACACACACACACACGTGTGTGTGCACACATAGAGATTTAAAGTCACTGAAGAGAATTAAGAAAGAGATGTTACCGGAGCATCGTAGAAAAAAACCATGCTATTTTAACACTCAATGGAAATATTCCCACTGTATTATAAAGAATTGGTTCACTGAACATCTATGCTGAATTACTCAGTGCTTTAAGTCTCTGGCTGTGGAGCCAGAGGTTGGGAGTTCAATTCCCCACTGTGCCTTCTTGACAGGGGCTGGACTCGATGCACTATAGGGTCCTTTTCGGCCATGCAGTTCTAAGATTACTATTATTATTGAACACATGCTATGCTAAAGAATGTCCCTAATACACTCCTGCCAGATAACACTTTTTGACAGAACATTTTAAAGAAAAAATAAATACTGATGGCACTTTAAAAGAAATATTTTACAAAAAGGAAAACTGAAGCTTCTTTTCAAAATTAAACAAAATACAACTATTAGCAATCATTTTTTTTCAAAGTATACATATATTCTAAGCTATGTTAACATGTCCTTACTTACTTAATGGAAGACTGTATGTGTGCATACACAAGCAGAGCAATTTCTGTACTAGGAAGGTAATTAAAAAATCTCAACAAGTAATCATGTTCCCTCTTATAAGGTTCCACTTTATGTGCATTAGAGGTGTGCATATTTGCTGTGCTGCTTAGGGAATTCTGAGACTTGTAGTTCAAAACCATGCATCTACTGTCCATATGTAAATAATCCATCCATCTGTCCATACAGATTTATCCATTCATCCATATTGTGCCCTTTCCTGAAATTGCCTCTTTTCGAAAAGGAGCTTTCTGCAAAGCATCTAGCAGATTTTACCCTTAGGGGTTTTTTTACATGAGACAAAGTACAGCTATATCTTCTACATGTCAAATCAGCGAGAGCTAGTAATTCCATCTCTCAATAAAACTAGAAGCAGAGGCAACCAGCGGAAAAAGGGGAAATCCTTACCTGTGTAAAGTTTACATTTAAGCCTTCGTGTGTTGCTTTTAAAAGTGCTCTCACAGTGAAGCAATCTGGGTCTTCTTTGTCTCTGATCTGAGACTCTTTTAACAAAGATTCAAGCTTCTTTCTTATAAAAGATTCCATCTGGTGTTCAGTTGTGCCATTGCTCTGAAACAGATCAGCAAATCCCAATGCAAATTGTTAAGTGATTTTTTTTCTTTTGCAAAAGCAAACAGATGTTTCTACCCAGGTAAACTGATTCCTCCTACAAGTTTAAATGCTCTTCCTCTGAAGTGGGTTATACTGAGAAAAGGGTATTTTCCCCCCTACCATGTTCCTTCAGAATCCCTAAAATAAAAATAAAAGCTAGTGTTACTTTCCATGGAAAGACTGGAGGCTCCCACTACACTGTCTATAAATTTGGCACCATCTCAAGCCATACCATGTGTTAAAGTCTACAAGAGTTCTCCTCTGTAATGCAACACCACTGAAACCACTAGGGAAGATAAGAACCCATACAGGCATGTCCCAATTGTTGGGAGAAAGTGAGAAGAACATGGATTAACTGGGCATGGAGAGACAAACAGCCACACATGGTGGCATGATGGTTTCACACACACATCCTTCACCCACATGTGCAAGGCGTACCTCAAAAGCCATCTCCTTAGCTGTAGCTAACTCCCAGAGCACCATTGGCCATTCTGAATTACAGTACTATAAAGATCAGAGTTTGAGGAGGTTACTTTTTTAGATTACAACTCCCGGAATCCAGCGGGCATGCATACTGAGGGATTCATGAGTCTGCATTCCAAAAAAATAACTTATCCAAGTTTTAACATAGAGTGTCTGTGCTTTCCCCATCTGGTTCCCAACAGGGAGCATTACAGCAGGAGACTCCAAACTTTTCAGTGTGAGGGCCACATCATATATTTTTCACATTGTCAAGGGCCAAACGAGAGAAGGGGGACCCAAGCAATCCCTCATCCCCACTGTCTTTGCATTGCTTGGAGACCCCTGCTAGTGCAAGGACATGACAGAAACATATTCAAATATCAGTAGCATCCAACCTGGGTTTCAAGTTTGGGTCCTTTTCAGTTTCTTGGACAAGTCTAGGTCTTTTTTTCCACTGAAATTTGAAATTATGATGGGATGTAGATGAGCTGCCATATGCAAGCTTATATGTCCGCAGCTGCATCCATCTGCATAAAACTGAGGAGGAACAGACCTTGTCTACAGTCTCTCTTGGACCTCACTATGATTTTAGAAAACAATGGCTTTCATGCACAGTGAGCACTGAGGGGAAAATAGTGTCTTGAGTCATTGCATGTAGTTGCTTTGCCTTGTGCTTCAAGCACTTCAAACCAAAATGATTTCTCTGCATGGCACAACATCATGATGCACAGAAGACTAATCAGTCCATGCCGCGATCTGAGCTTGATCATTTGAACACAAGGAAGCAGGCTTCACCAACACCATCTTACTCCCAAAGCAAGAACACATCACAGAACATCTCTGTTGCTAAGTATGAACTCATTCCTTTGACATCAGTGAAGGAGCTGTTTTCTCCCATACACATAGAGCTGCAGAAGGTATTTGGGAGGCATCCTGTGATGAGAACATATTTTTTAAAAAAGAGTTCTTATGAGCATCTGGTCTCTCTCTCAGAATGAAATCTGATGGGACCTTGCAATACCCAAAGCAACCAAGTGATTCTCAAGCCCATCTGCAAGCATTTTAAATCCCAATCGACAGCACAAATGAGAAAACAAGAGAGCACAAAAATAATTTTACAAATGTACTCCGTGTAATCGCTCCATTAAGGGCAAGGTGCATAGTTAAAAATGAAATCCATGTGCTCATGCAACAGCAACACTCTCTCGAGTCTCCTCTGCTCTTACCAGATGACCAGACTGTTACTCTGACCCATGTAAAAATATTTTGAACCTGTTATGCTTGGCTTCCTCTGAGCTAAAACAGAACATCTGTTCATAATGAGGCAGATGTGCACCATTGTCACCAAGTGCAAAAAGTTCTACACGCAAAGGGAAACAGCAAAGAGGAAGCAGAGAAAACAAAGGGAACTACATGGCCAGTGCAGTCACATCAAAGTCTATTCAAAGGTAATTTGCATTATTTTTAATCATGCTTAGTCAGAGATTACGTTTATATAGGATTGTAGCCTGAAAGCCCCATCAGCATAAATAAATAATAAATGCAAGACTTGATTGGAAATCTAGCAAATCTATATAAACCATGCTTTATTATATGGTTTTATTGTATCTGGTTTAGGAGAGGGTGTAAATGGTTTATATTTTTTACAGTGAAAAAGGAAGGAAGGAAGGAAGGAAGGAGGGAAGGAAGGAAGGAAGGAAGGGAGGGAAGGAAGGAGGGAGGGAGGGAAAGAAGGAAGGAAGGAAATTGAAACTAGCATTAATATTTGGGTTGGCTCCAGACTGCTATCCTATTTATGAAAGTGAAAGCAGAGCTTATTTTTACTTATTACTTCTTTCCCCTGCAGCTCCTTCTGTCACCTCTGACACTTTTCTATAGGCCTCCCCAAACCTTAAGATCAAGTTTTCAAGAAATGCAGAGGACTACAGAGGATAAGAGGAAGCTGTGAAAATGGTCTTTCCCCATTTCTCCCTCTAGCAGCATCCTGTGAATGGATTGGAGCACTGGATTAAGTACAATGGTCACAAGAATATCGATACCAATTAACAATTTCTACAGCATCCTCAACATACATGGCACTCGACCCTGTCTCCATCAGCCTGCAATCTAAATTATGATTGTAGGAATGTCTGCACAGCCCTGAATTCTATTGCTAGTCCAAATGAGAATAGATCCCTTGAATCAATTCCTGAAGAGTAAATCAACTGACATGTAAATCTCAGTGATGTAATAGGGTTGCTCTAGCAGGGATTAGCAATTGGATATATAAGCCATAAGGACCAGATATGGTGATCTACGTAACTGCACTCATAGTTATATTTGTTGGACTCTTTTGATGAAGGGTGCTTTACAAATGTCCTAATACTGTGTGCAAAAAGCTGTCACAGCCATGTAAGGTCCTGCCACAAGGAAAAAGTTTTCATATCAATCTTGTCTTACAGTTTTAGGTTGCTCTTTGACTAGTGAAATGTAATAGGTAAACATGGACTGCTGTCATTGCGTGGCAAATGCTAGCTTGTGCTGCTGTGTGAAGCAGGGCACATATTAGGAAACAGTAGGGCACACTTACATAAGACAGCTTTAACTTGCAATCATCTTCAATTTCATCAGCACTATCTTCATCAGAAACTTCCCCTTCTTCAGCATCTGCCCCAAGGCTATAGGGGAGCTTTTTGCCCTGGAAATTAACAGAAGAGTATTGGTATAATGCTTTAAAATGCAAATCAAACCCAACTTTGTTACAGAATCAGAAGAAAAACAAAACCCGCATTATAAATGTATTGTAGGCATCCACAAACATTCTGTGTCTTGCATAATATGCCAATAACACATAGCTATGACTTACTAAATATTAATAACTGTTCGTTTAAGAGGGAAGCATATTGAACAAATTAACACCCACAGTTTTCCTGTGTTTGTTAGCATATCTTTTATAGAAGCAAAACATTTCAATATATTTCTATAATCACATAAATCACATAATCACATAAACATATCTGGATCCTCCATATTTCCCGCATGCTATGTGTCAATTCATTTTAGCCTCTTTGAGGCTCCCTTTACAAACATCCTTAACCTCATATAATGTTATTAATGTAAATGCTGCTATACAAAATGAAAAATCCCTGCCCTGAATTGCCTGTGACATGATAAGTGTATTCCAATATTACTTATTCTTTCATGCCTAGCAGACGTAGAGCTGAGTATGTCAGTCCTTTTAATTCTGGAAGGAAGGTTAGAAAGTAGGAAATATGACAATTTTGCAATTTGTCAGAATTTCACTGCCATTTTTTCTCATCTGGACTGCATATCATTGCAAGATTTTTTTCTCTCTCTCTCTCTTCTACATGGATTTCTTGAAGAACGTGATTTTCTTTTTGCACAGACTACACCTGTAGTTTCAAATTCCAGAGCCCTCATATGTCTCAAGTACAGTGGGGTCTCAACTTACGAACGGCTCGACATACGAACGTTTCGACTTATGAACCGCCATCATAGGAATATATGGACTCGTCTTACGAATTTAGATTCAAGTTACGAACTCTTCCCCCCCTTTTTTTAAAGCTAAGTCATCTTAGGTTAAAAGGAAAAAAGGAAAAAATTATCCCCCTCTAGTGGCAGAAGGCGGAATAGCAGCTTCCCATTAGTTTCTATGGACGAAAAGAGCAGATACAGATTAAATGGTTTTCAATGCATTCCTATGGGAAATGCAGATTCGACTTAAGAACTTTTTGACCTGAGAACTGCCTTCCAATACGGATTAAGTTCGTAAGTTGAGACCCCACTGTACACAAAGGCAGGGTAAATCTATTTTATTTTAAACAGCAAGGACTTGACAGTCTATATAGCAAGAATAACAAAACCTTCAGGAGGACAAATCCTTTTATAGAAAAAATATACATGGAGAGATGGGCTATTCAGACCACTCTTCCTCTTACCCTTCCCTTGGAAAGGTTTCTGAACCCACCTTCTGAGCAGTGTTTCTCTAGCACTGTTTTCATGTAAAAAGATCTGTGGCTGTTTCATGCTCACTTTTGCCATTCTATTCTGTTTTTTAAATAAGAGGAGGTTAAAGGCTGACATTCTGTTACAACATTTGGAGCAGAACAAGAAGCAGTAAAAAGGAAAGAATATGTAGTTAGTCACCTTTGGTGACCTTTCTGGGCAAAAAAGAAAGGTCCCTATTAGAAGGTCACATGGAAGACAAAGGTAAATGCAGTTCGCTCCTGGTTGACATATAGTGATTATAAGCCTAACTGTTCCCTCCAGTAACTATGTGTTTTTAAATATTGTTGCACTCGGCTCCTCAGTGGTGCAACAGAGGCAGGTTTCACAGGATGAAATGACAGAACTTTCTAGTTAGCAGAGATAATCATATCATCCACATTTACCCACCAGATTCTGCTTTTCCCTCTAAGCTAGCTGCAATCTTAATAGCTGGGAGAAACACAGATTTTTCCAGGTTAGTACAGGTATATTTTTGCAAGCTACCCTGTATTTGAGAGTGAATTAATCTTCAGTGGGGAATTAAGAGCCATTAGCTTTACAAAAAGAAAACCCTACTCCTTTGTCACTGATATGGACTGATTCAGAGTTCTGCATTTTATGTACGGAGGCTGTTAAATGGGCCGGCATATATTTATTATACAGCGGTGCCTCGCTAGATGGTTACCCCGCTTGATGACGAAATTGTTTTACGATGGTTTTTTTGTGATCGCTATAGCGATCGCAAAACAATAGTTCCAATGGGGCTTTTTCGCTCTACGACCACCCGCGCCCGCTTTAGAGCACTTTGGAGGCTTTTCCTGCACCATCAGAGGACTGGTGGGGGACCTCCAAAGCCGGCGATCACGGTGAGGGGACCCACTGCCAGTCCTCCCATGGTGCTTTCCCAGCTCCATGTTCCTTTAAGTTCCTTTAAAAAAATTTCCCCTAGGAACGCATTAATTTTCAATGCATTCCTAAGGGAAATTTGGTTTTGCAAGACAATGTTTTCGCAAGACAGCAATTTCCGCAGAAAGGATTAATATCGTCTTGCGAGGCTCCACTGTACTACGCCAGTACTTTGTCATATTCACTCTGTAATCTGTTTCTGTATCCTAGCCATGAACAGCTTCTGGTCAGGTTACAGGTGAAGAAAGGGACCACTTGCTCTCACTTGTATCTAGCTAGACCTTGAAGTCATCATTAGAAGGTTTCTCTCAGGAGTCAGTGGGTAGCTACCAAGCGTGGGCCTTCTAACTGGTAACATCCTACTTGTGGAATCCCCCCCAAAAGAGTCTACTCCAGGCACTTATTTTGTATTCCTTTTGGTATCAAGAAGAATGTTATCTAAAATTTTGTTAGGATTTTAATGGCCTCTCAAACTGCAACCCTGTACTGACTTAGTTAAAAATAAGCCACATTGAACTGATTTCTAAGGAGACACATAGTAAGATTGTACTAACAGAAGATTTCAAAGAAATCTTCTGGCATTTTGAAAGTTCTAAGGTTCACATGTGCTGTTTTGTCCTCATTTACTGTATTGATGCACTCATTGATTCTGCACTGTATTTCTTTTTAATGTAAGCTGCTCAGAGAACCCTAGTTATAGGGCTGCATAAATGTTTCATACATAAGCAAGAAAATATCAGCAGGTGGCAAGGAAGAAGGCACCAAATCACCAGTCTACCCATTCATACATATCTATCAGTAGGTCACACTTCACAGTGGCTTTGATAAAGGAAGTTTACTGCAAGACTGCTATACAAAAGAGTGACAAGATACAGTGGTGTCTCGACTTACGAACGGCTCGACATACGAACGTTTCGACTTATGAACCGCTCTCATAGGAATATATGGACTCGACTTACGAACTTAGATTCGAGTTACGAACTCTTTTTTCCCCTTTTTTTAAAGCTAAGTCATCTTAGGTTACACTGCTATACAAAAGAGTGACAAGATACTTCTTCTTTGCCCCCGCGGATATACAGCATTTAAAGTTTATTTTTGTGTCCTTTAAAGAATCAGTTCTTGGTTACTGTTGACAGCAGTGCAAAGGACTGACTAGTAGGATCAGGGCTACTCAGAATGACAAGATCTTCCCTGCAGGAGTAGATCAACGGTGAGATTGAGAAGCAAGTTAATAATAAAAAGGTCTCACTGAGATAGATGGCCAGGAAATTAAACATGCACATTATAAAGCATGTTCACTCATAGCTCCTCACTTGAGTTAGCTGCCAATATCCATAAGAACAGAGGCTGCTCTCTTCATCTAGATTATTATCATTAGATCATTATTGCAACTCTGCTCACTCAGAAGAGAATTAGGAGGAAATACAAAGGGTTGAGTCCATGTGGCACTCAGGTGCTTCCATGGATTGGTTTGGAATGACTGGTGACACTCCATCAGACTTTGAATTGACAACAGTCCAATGCTGCTTTGGTATTCTGTCACACTCTAGTGTTAACAAGTGACTTGGGTGGCATACATACTCCTAGAAGAGCTTAAAGAACTCAAATGGCAAATTGCTGTTTTCTATGAAAAGTAAGCAGCAGCTGGCTGTGCTTTCAGGGCAGATTTCTCCCCCCCCCCCCCGGGNTCAGCTCTAGAAAAGGCACAGCTAGAGAATGCAAAAATCTTCCTTTTTGGCATAAACTGTTTGGTTTATTATTACATCCCTCACAGGGTGTTGAGCCATTGCTGCTTGCTCTCCTTCCAGCCATGTGTCACGAGAAGCCACTATATGCACACGCTGAATTGGACACGTGCATTCATGGGTAAACAGTCCACAATTCCATCTTGTGTGGAACATTATTCTCTACCATGGTCCAAATCTTCAGTGGCAGTTTGGCATTTATGGCCCATCTCTTGAAAGAGAGGACAGTCACAGGCAATCTGGAGGACCTCTTCTTCTCCCTTTCTGCCTTTTTGAAACTCAAAGATTTTCTCTTTAGCTGGGGGAGGGAAGGCTGCCCAGTTAACATGGCCTGCCTCTAACAGAGTTGGGATTAGGAATTTAGTTAAACCACCAGGAACAAGCAATTTAAGCTAAATCAAAGCCAAATAAATAGTGCACATAAACAGCACATAAGTTTGGAACTGCCCACAGTAATTTGATGCACGGCCTTGAAGATGACGATTTACCATCAAGAGCTCACTATTTTGGGTTTTTTTGTGTGTGTTTTTGCTTGTTTGTTTGTTTTATATTCTTAATGGTTGATTAAAGGTATCACCTACTCCTGCATTTGTATCAAAAACAAGGAAACTGCCCCCATGTTTCCTGGGAAGCATAGGTCTTCAGTTTAGTTCTCTGGGAGGTAGCCTCGATAGAGCCTAATGGGCAGCAAGACTATACTGATTCCAGAACAGAGTAGGGACCATCGCTCATGCTTTGTATCCTGAAGTTTGCAGGTTCAATGTCTGGCATCTTCATTGAGTAGGGATCATCGCTCAGAGGTATAGGGCATGCTTTGTATCCTGAAGTTTGCAGGTTCAATGTCTGGCATCTTCATGTGGGGCTCCTGTACAATTTATTCTAGTCAATACATACCAGAGACTGGGAACTTGGGTCCTTGGACAAGCTGTGGCCCTTTATCATAGAATCTGCATAGGATTGGAAGGGATCTTAGAGGTCTTCTAGTCCAACCCACTGCCCAAGGCAGAAGACCTCATACCCTCCCATGCCTCATACCATGCTGGCCAGATGGCTGTCTAATCTTTTCGTGAAAACCTCCAGCAATGGGGCACCCACGGCTCTCACCGTCAGGAAATTCCCCCTTATTTCCAGGTTGGGTCTCCCTTTGATGAGTTTCCCACCCATTGGTTCTTGTCCTACCCTCAGATGCAATGGAGAATAAATCGATGCCCTCTTCCCTGTGGCAAGCCTTCAGATATTGGAAGACTGCTATCATGTCTCCCCTCAGTCTTCTCTTCATTAAGTTAAACATATCTAGTTCTTTTAGTTGCTCGTCATAAGATTTGGCTTCCAGTCCCCTTATCATCTTTGTTGCTCTTCTCTACACCCCTTACAGGGCCTCAGTCTGAATGTTGAGTCTCTCTTTCTAAGTATTAGCAATCCCCCCCCCAGATTTGTGTCATCAAAGTCTTCCTTTTTTCTTCAAAAGCTTTGTTACCAGCTGTGAAAGCTTCATGCAACCAACTGCTAGAATCTTTCATTCCCTGCTCTTGATTATGGCCTCAACCACTGCTGTAATGCAGTTCCATAGAACTTCTCTGGAAATGAACTTAATCCTTGGACTGAAAGAGACTGACCACCTTTGGTATCAGCAACACTGTGGTAGATGGATCAACCATCCCACTTAGTTTAGTGTAGCTTTCTATATTCCTATAATATTTGAGATGCCTTCCAACTTTAATACTTAATGACTGCATTATCTTCTAACAATGTATTTCGAAGCACCACCTAAAAGGGTTGGTCTGTAGGGAGAAGGAATCTTTTCTAAAGGAACAAGAAAAGAAGGGAGAAGACCTGTACAGATAAAACACATTGCCACTTAACTAAATGTCATTTCTGTAGTCATTTACCTTGACTAGGATTTTGCCTTTCAAACTCTGAGGACTGGGAAGCTGCTTGGAATCCTCCAGGCTTACAGAACTCAAGTCCAGCTTGTCACCGAAAATCTCCTTGAGGTACTGAGCAATTTTCTTTTGCTGCTGAACACTGCAGTGATTTTCAATAGAGAGTATAATTGGAAATCTGAAAAGGAAAAAAATGCATAAAAAATGGGTCAAGGTCTAAATAATTTTTGTTAGCAGATACCAAACACACCAAATGCCTTCTACCTCTATAATTCTATGACTCTAGAACCAACTGCCTTTGGATATGGCCACATGCTTACTAGGTGGTAAATCCTATTGAAAACAGAACAGTAAAAATGGGAGGCCTTGAAGTACACTTGAAGTACACTTAAAAATGGCACACATATTGTGTGAGCAAAGGAAAGAATTGTGACATGTGGGATACCGTTAGCTTTGAAAGATAGACTATTACTAGTAAAAGAAGAAGTCCAACATTTTAAAATGTAGTTTGGAAATACAAAAATACAGCAGTAGGAAGATATTTATATAATTCTCTTCACTTTTCATTGTTGATAATACTGTATTACAAGGATATCTCCAAGCAGGATCTGAAGGCCTTAGGAATGGACCTCAACATCTCCTTTACACCAACTTCAGTGGATGCCGTCCAGTCCCTCCAGTGCTGCCTGGAGACTGTACTGGAATGTCAAATGGATTGATGCTGAACCCGGACAAGACAGAGGTCTTGAGGGTGGGCGGCCTTTCCGTCAGCGGCATAGGTGACTCCCTCTCCTTTGGAGGGACGACCCTTGCCGCAAAGAGTGAGGACTGCAGCTTGGGAATACATCTGGACCCGGCGCTTACCATGGAAACCCAGGTGGCGTCCGTGGTCCGCTCTGCCTATTTTCATCTATGGCGGATTGCCCAGCTGTGACCATATCTTGATCGGGGGGCCTTCACTACTCTAGTCCATGCACTCGTAATCTCGAGATTAGGCCATTGTAACACACTCTACGTGGGGCTGCCTTTGAGGCTGACGCGTAAACTTCAGGTGGTCCAGAATGCGGCAGCCAGGCTTCTTAGTGGGGTGAGAAAACACCAGCATATCTCCCCCACTCTGGCTGCTTTGCACTGGTTGCCCATCCATTTCCATGTTGACTTCAAAGTGCTAATGATCACTTATAAAGCCCTAAACAGTTTGGGACCTCAATATTTGGCAGACCGTCCTCTCCCACCCAGATCTACCTGAATCACCCAACATAGCCAGCAGGGGCGGCTGAGGGGTCTGACGCCGAGAGAGGCCCGGAAGGAAAAAAAAAGAAACCGGGCCTGGGTGTTTTTAAAAGCCAGTTAAAAACTTGGTTATGCAAGCAGGCCTTCCCTCCAGTCAATTAAGTTTTTCTCCTTTTTTCTTGTCTTTGCTATTCCATCTCGGTAATCCTCTCTTTAAATTAATTGTTTTAAATTGAAATTGTAATTATAATTTTATGATTTTATATATTTTTATACTGTTCTGTTTTATTTTGTAAGCCGCCCCGAGTAGACATGGTCTAGAGGGGCGGGGTAAAAATCAAATAAATAAATAAATTAAATAAATAAATAAATGGGAAACCTTGACATCTGAGTGTTCAGCCTGGAGGTAGGCAGTGCATCATGACCTCTCCCAATTTGAAGAGACACTTGTCCAGCAGGCCGAGGCAAAGAAAGAGGCAGTCCCAAAACCAGCAAAATCAGGGAGCTGGTTGTATTTGTCTTCAGTGTGGAAGGGATTGTCACTCTTGAATTGGCCTTCTCAGCCACACTAGACACTGTTCCAAGTCCTCTATTCAGAGCATGTTACCATAGTCTCTCAAGAAGGATGCCTAATCTAAATATTGTATAACTTACACATAGTTTGTCTGTAAACCCAAAGTTGCTACTATACTTACTCATTGTTTACAAAGCCATTTTTGTTGATCACTTCAACTACATCTTTAAAGAGTATTTTAGAAGTAAGAGTATATCCATGATGCACAACGGGCTCCCCATCTGGACCATCCCAGCAGTCCACTGTTAAGAAAGAAAAGTTAAACATTAAGTAAGTATTTGTCTGAGGAACAGACAATCCTTTTTGGGTGGGAAGAAGCTGGTGAAGGTAACGGTACTAGAAGGGAAGTAGTGGTAATAGAAGATCGTTGTTCAAAAAAAAAATCCACAGAATTTCAGTGCATGCAAATTCTGTTCAGCAAAAGGACACTCTCCTACTACATATTATCATTCCTTATGTTCCATCATCTGTAAAGGTCACGCTGGCAAATGATTAAAGCTGACTGCTGTGCTATTATCATGAAGTGTAATTAGCCAGAATATACTTGTCAAGAGAGCTATGATAGAAGTCCAAGAAAAAACACTAACATTTCAGTAACGTAGAGCTGATTCAGGGGTTTCTGCACAGAAATGTTGCTGGTTTTGTATTATAAGCTTCATTGTTTGTCCCTCTGCAGGTAGATATCTTCGCCCACAGCTGCTTTACTGCAGCTACTTTATATATACAGCACAAAGGCACAGAACCCCTGGGACATTCATCTGATGGACCAGCTAAAGCAGATTTGAATCACATAACAATACTGCAGAGTGGCCTGTCACTCCCTGCTTGCCTTTATTAAGCCCTGCCCTTCAGGTGCATATCAACTGTTAGCTCTTAGCTCCAGCCCTCTTCACCTCTGCCATGATCACTACTCGTCTATTTGGCCTCCATTTTTGGAATTCAGCACATGTCCACAATGAACCAGTGCTTTAAAGCAAGAAATGGTGAACTGAGGCATTCTGTAACCAGTCATGAACTATCTCACCCTCAGATACCTGCTGGGCAAGGAGAAATAGAAGAAGTGTCAGAAGGAGAAAGGAAAGAGAAAAAAAGGAAAAAGAGGATGTCCACTATTGATTCCAGCCCTGCCTGCCGTTGGTTCTAGTCCCACACATTATCAGCTTTGCAGCTCCAGCATCAGACTACTCTCGAGGGACTGCAACACTCAACAGAAAATAATATATGTTCCCTAATGGATCTGATATACACATGAAGCTCCTGTACCAACATGACACTTCCATATCCATGCTCATATAATATATCCAGAGATGAACAGAATGAAAACACTTCATTTGCAAAGCACTGTTCACAAAAGACTTCAAATCAACTTAAAAGCATATTCTGTCAATACTTCCATTTCTATTAAAATTACTTGTTTCTTCAAACACCTGTGCCTTCAAGTTGTAAACATAGTCAAAGTCTGCAATGTAACTAAATGACAACACACTTTAATTCCACTTTTTTTATCACTTATGGAAAGCAAAGCCTATGAAATAAACTAGCAAATACAAGCTTGCTTCTGGAGCTAAGAATAGGCGCGCACACACACACACACACACACACACACACACACACAGAGAGAGAGAGAGAGAGAGAGAGAGAGAGAGAGAGAGAGTATAAAGCAATATTATCTCCAATGTTACTGTTAGCATCAGATTCAATTTCAACTTGTGGCTTTAAAAAACAAGAATTTTTAAAAATTGCTAATAGAAATAGAAATACAGATCATATTGTAAACGAAATTTATTGGATGTTTATTTGGATGTTTCCCAAAAAAAAATCCGGTCCACGGTGTCAAAAAGGTTGGGGACCACTGATCTAGACAGCATACGGACTCTGTTCAAGTGAGTGAGTGAGTGAGTGAGAGAGAGAGAGAGAGAGAGTGTGTGTGTGTGTGTGTAGCCTTTCTCCACAAAGAACCATAAAACAAATATACCCTAACCCCACCTCAAAAAACAGAATAAAATGGGCACCTTCAAGACATCGGCATCCATCTTGCAGGACTCGCGCATACATCTCAACTTTAGATTGAGAGAGAAGCTGGTCTCCAGTTAGGTATGTATTATGAGAAGAAGCAATGTAATAGTTGCAAAGGGGCTGATCCATATCCTGATGTACCTCGCTGTGCAGTGGGTTGAACACATCACAGGTGGGGCTGCGCATGAAGTTGGTAAAGCCTTTAAAGGGACAAGAAATAAACAGGCTTCAGTACAAAAGTATACTAACCAAAAGTTAGACAAGGTACTTTGCCACTAAGACCACATCCTAATTAATTAATTGTTGAATTATTACCAGCTGCATAAAAACCTCTGCTTCTCATGCAACAAGTCTACTTGTGCTTCCTTCATCTACGTATACACTTTTGATCACTAAATCACTATCACTGCAACATTATAACAAAGAAAAAGAGAGAACGTTTGTAGATTACATTCCAGTTCTACAGAGGATCTTGGGTCTCACTCCAGCATAATACTGAGAGCTAAGATCATCTAAAGCAGAAACTTCTGCTAAAGTTCAGCCAGAACTTCCTCATGCATTATTCAGACGGAAGCAACCACAGAGATAGGTTGCAAAATGTACAGCTTTATATATCTATTTCTCTTTCAAGGCTGTCTCTTGAATGAGCCATGTTGAAGGGAAACTAGTTTTTCAGATTTGATTTTGAGTCTTTCCAAAGGATTTGGAAAACCTAGGAGTATTGTTCTTAGAGACCCATGTGTTGTAGGCATTTAGTTCAATGTCTGTAGGTTTGCCTTGTTGAATACAAAACAGAAATCAGACCCATGTGTGCAATGTGTTGCCCTTCCCAACTGTAATGTATAGCATAGTCCATAAAAGCAAAAGGGCACATATACTGTACCCATTAAAATAAAAATCCCACTAAACAGTGGATCAATGGATGGATTAAGGAACAGGAGGTAGTGCCATCATCTGCCTCCATATTTTGAAATGTTAGACTACAGTTCCCATCAACCCCAGCCAGGTGATTAGCCATGCAAGGCCAGGGAAAGGAGGAATGAGAAACAGGATAAAAATGAATGGGAAATACAAATATATCCCTTCCCGCAACTCCTTCCATCGGTTCCTCTGCTAATTAATATCAAAATGTACTCTCTCTCTTCAGCAAAGGGAGGGTAAGTGAAGAGATTGGACACATGTCTGACTCTCAACACAAATTAATAATGTGATTTCCCCACAGAAATCAAGAACAGACAGATATTACAATAAACCATGGGTAGATTACCTCTAGAGAGCCAGGTGCCACACAGACACCCTTCCCTGGATCTTGGACAGCTGCCCCCATTTTTGTGAGCCCTCCAGTTTTGTCTTACAAGATTGTAAACAGAAAAAATAAAAATAAAACACTGAACCATCTAATTCCCATAATTTGGAGGAGGGGGACAAGTACATTTTGGGTGTGTGCAGGGGCCCAGAGAGAAAAAGAGTTCAAACTATCCCTCTAGAGCAGTGGTCCCCAACCTTTTCCCAACCGTGGACCAATTGGGGGGCATGGTGTGCCCGCAGGGGCAGAGCTCCCTCATGTGCACGTTACACTTGTGGGGGGCGCTGACACACAAGTGCATTCACAGGGGGCAGAAAGCGCTCACACACATGCATGCAATGGTGCTTGTGGGGGGGTGCTCACGGGGGGTAGGAGATCTTAGTCTGTGGCCTGGTCCTGGACAAGCCACGGGCCACTGCCGGGTCGCAGACTGGGGGCTGGGGACCTCTGCTTTAGAGGACAGAAGGGAATTTTTTCAGCCAATTAAACAAAAAGATTTTAAGTTGGGAGATGGGCCCACATGGAGGTATATTCATCCCAAAGGTCACATTTTTACCCATTCCTGCACTAAACCAATGAAATCGTAAGGACCGTTCAAGTGATGCAATAAAAGAAAACTAGAGTAATAAGCATAGCAATTTAAAGATCCCAGAACTCCACATCATGTTATTAACCTTGTTTTCAGGCGGCCTGTTTTCACCAGACTTTTTGGGAAAAATCCTCCACCACAAACCATAGAGAGCCTTGTTCTGACAATTTAAAAGTGCAGATGGAGGCAAGATTGCTCAAGTTGTCTACTGCAGTTCCGTCAACAAAATCATTCTACTACCAAACAAGTTCCTACCTTCACTCATCAGAATTTACTCAATGTTTCTGAAGATTAGTTTTCTCCTTTAGCCTCTATATCTGAAAACTATTCTTCCTGATACTATCATGAACAGTTTAGAGCACTACATAAAGGGTCTGATGCCCCACAGCATGTGCTGGCACAGTCAAAGCTGTAGGAATTATAACTTTGGAAGTCAAGAGGAAGTGCTGAGGTAGCTGCATCAGCCATAAAACAAATCCCGAACTACACACTGGAGAAATATCTTTATTAGCCAACTAAAAGGCACAGAAATGTGAAAGCATCTGAGATCGCTGCCCACATCCTCTGAAAACTACATTGGAAAGTTTGCTGAGCATTATTTCTCTGATACAACCTAAGACACCCTGCAGATAATGAACGGAATCAGATTGTCCTATGCTGCCTAACCAATTAAAAGATTTCCATAGGTGCCACATTTGTGCTTCTAAGCTGGGAATCATCCAACAAAATATTCTGTTTCTGAATGCCTTGGATACCACAACACTTTCCCAGTAAAACTCGAAATGCCAGAAGCATTTTTAAAAATGTCTAAATTCGTTGTGTCCACTCATAGGTTCAGGTGAGGGGAGTTATTATTTGTATTAATTTCATAATGGATTTTTCTCTGATTTTTACTGAAGCTTATGTACTTTTAAGGGGCACCCAGAGTAGTGTATGGTGACAGGGAACAGGACACAGGAAAACTGGGTTTGAATCCCCACTCGGCTATGGCAATTCACAGGGAAGATGGGATGACACTGGTAAAATTGTTCATCTCCATTAAATCTGTAGTATCAACAGGACAGGAACAAACCTCTCCATTACTTGAAATGGATTTTAGCTGGTCCCACAGTTCAATTCCTTACATACAAAACTTTGCTTTAGAAAATACTGCTGGAAATGCCATCAAGACAAACTGAAGATGTTAAAGAACTTACCTTCTATGCCCAAAACATTTCGGTTCTTGTTTTCTTCAGAAACTTCAAATTTCGTTATGATGTCCAGACAATACTCTGTCGTCACATTACTCATCTGCAGCAAACACAACATAGGTGCATTTTTGATCCTCCAGAATATGTGACCAACATGTCAAAATCAACTTCAGGCCTCAGCATTTGTTGACAATCCCATGGTCATACTCTGTGTTCAGCCAACCATGAACACAAGTGTCAGCAAAAGTATTCTTCAATGACCTTTAAAAGAGTTGGGGGATTTGTGTATATATTTGTTTTGGGGTTTTTTCGTGAGCATGCCATCTATCTGTCTGTCCGTCTGTCCCTCTATATCCCAGCAGGGCTGAAAAGTTGAAGTAGTGGTATTAAAACTATGTTTTGCTGTTGAAATAGGTATTATGACTATAGAGATACAGTTTTAGTTGTGTTACTTCCACAGCATTCAACTGTTTGGACAACAAAACATAGTTTTAATACCACTGCTTCATTGGGCAGGGCTCTGCCCCTTGCACATGCACTTCTGCTCCCCTCTGCCTGCATGTCCCCACCACCCGCATGAGGTTCCATCATGACAGGAACCGAAGGGGCTAGAAACTATCACTGTGGGTGCTCGGAGGAGGATCCCTGTGCAGAGGGGGTGGCATCACACACAGTAATGCAACCACACATTACACTCTTTGCTTCTAGCAGAAATGCTGGCCACGTGTACCTTTCTCAATAGGAGAGAAAGATCAGTAGAGGTTGCCTCTGGTGGGCTGTCTAGCCCCAACTCAAGATTCCCAGAAGAGCAATATGCCTGCCTTGCTGTGGGAGATGGTACACGGCAGACACAAAACTAAGGACTGCACAATGCAGACCAAGGTCACCACCAAAGGAGATCCCTGCCCTTTCCCTGGGGGGGGCTTAGACTGCACAATACAAATGGAAGCTGCTCCTGCCAAAACAGGGATAGAGACCCCAGAGTTACTCTAAGCCGATTAACAGCAGAGTGCCCTCTGGAGGAGGAGAAAGCCACAGGAGGAAGCTGGGGACAGAGGACTACAAAAGCTATGCTGGATGAGGTTGAGGGACAGACTGAGCAGGGGGGAGGTAGGATAGAAATCTGAGGTGTCATCACAGAAGAGGAGAAGAAGAAGGGGCCTGGAAGAATGTTACAGTGATGCTGGGGGAAGCATATCAAGCTGAATAGGCAGATGATGAAACAACAGTGCCCTCCCAGGACTGGAACAATGTAATCAAGGAGAATCTTTGGATGGGAGAGTTAGTGGAGTTGTGCGTGTTGAAGGGTGAGGAGCCTAAAACACCAATATTCAACCTCACATCCTAGGCTGAGGCTCCAAATCCCTGGGGAGACCCATGTAGGAGAGCTCATCTTGAGCTCTGGAGACATCAGTGCCAGAAAGCTCACCTGGGTCATAAACAAGAGGAACTGCAGTGGAAGTCAGAGAGATTAGCAGGCCAAGGAGCAGAGCCGTGCCCTGCCCTCATTGCAGTCATACAGACCCTCTCTTCTCCTGGCCTCAAGCTTTGGAAGCCAGTGACACTTACCACTGAGATAAACTGCGGACTTGTATCTGCCAATGCAGTCAAGTGGAGAGACTGCGAAGAGAAGGACTCAGCCAGGACTAGTGGAGTCAACTAGCCCTGGAGTTGGACTGTTTGCAAAGTTGCCTGTTGTTTATTCCCCTCCCAAGTTTCCATAAACCCAGTTGTTTTTGTACAAGCTGGTCTGGACTCCATAGATTTGGGGATAGAAGAGGGGCCACCCATTGACCAAGGAACAGTCAGCGAGGCTCACAAAAGAAAAAACAAAAGCACAGGAAGAATTGTGGCTGTCCACAATTTTTTGAGTGTCTCCAAATATTACTAAGCTACTTCTCCCACCATACATAACTGTACATAACTCCCTGGTTATTTCAGGAAGTACTTCATGCTTCAAGAACCCTATTGTGCTGCAATGCCTCCCAAAAGGAAGGAAGAAAGTTCATTTCCAATTCTGAAAAATTGATATTTTGAGATGTCAAAAAGTACAGAAGGGTCCTTAAAAGGTAAATAATCCATCCTGGAATCTTGGGAAACTCTGCTATAGGGGATGCATATTGCCACTACTTTACCTATAATAAGCTGAGTTCATCGAAAGGTTAGGGGTTGAACACCTTTGAGTGTCCTAATTTACCCATCCCTGCTCTTTAAGATGTTTAGCTTCAGTGAGTGTCACCAACTTCAACAGGACCTTTTTGAAGACCGTGGCCAATTCAAGACTTTTCTTCCCCGAGTAAGATTATTATTTGTCCTCCACCTCCATGCTCACGTGCATTATTTAGTTAGTTATTTAAATTTTCCAAAAGGTAGCTGTCTTTGTCCCCTTTGTTTGTTTGTTTGTTTTGTTTCTTTGGATTTTGCCTGATTAGTTAGTTAAAATATTTTTATCCTGCCTTTGTCCTTAAAAAGGACCCAATGTAGTTTACATCATTAAAAGACAATATTAGAAGCTAAAAATAGTAAGTATACAAATACTTAAGGATCAACTCTCCTGGCCACGGCCAAAACTTGAGCATCCAGGCTCAGGGATGAATCCAGGATAACCTCCAAGCTGCGCACCTGAGGGAGTGTAATACATCCAGCACAGGCTGAGTCCCTATTCCTTGATCTCCCTTTAGACCAGGGGTCTCAAACTCAATTTATCTGGGGGCCGCTGGAGGCAGAGGCTGGGTGAGGCTGGGCCACATCAGATTTTCCGCCAAGCGGAGCAAAAGCCCGGGGAAGCCGCCCAGGAATTTCCTTAGCTCGGCTGGGGCTCTGAGGAGGGGGAGGAGCATGCGAGCCCTCGTCGCCGGCCACAACCCCCTCCAGCTCCTTCTTCACTACCACCACCAGCAGGTCTTTTTTCTTTTTGTCACTGTTCACCCAACGTAAGCATCGTTGTTTATTTGTTCATCATGAACACTGGCACAAAACTCTATGAATGAGCTACTGCTGTCTTATTTTATCAGTTCTATTTATACCAAAACAAGTAAGTTGTTCTGGTTTCGTTCCCAGCTCTAGTTTTTGAATAATACTTTCACTCTTAAGGCACCTCTTTGAGGCACATTTTAAAAGGACTTCTCAGTTTTAGAGCACCACCTCTGCATCCCATTCAAATTATACATAATTTTCAAATTGTTTTCAATTGGCAGTGTTCATGATAAATAAGTCAAATATGGATTTTGATAGGAATACAGTGGTGCCTCACTAGACGATTGCCTCACGGGACGAAAAACCCACAAGACAATTGGTTTTTGCGATCACTATGGTGCCTTGCAATACTTTTTTTTCTTTGACCGTGCTTTGCAAGACTTTTTCTTTAGACCGATGCTTCGCAAGACTTTTTTTTTTTTTTTTGAGACCAATGCACAGGGAACCTCGCAACACGATTTTTTCACAAGATGACAATTTTTGCGGAATGAATTTAAATCGTCTTGCGAGGCACCACTGTATATGGTAGGAAAATTATATATAATTTTCCTACCATATATTCCTCTCAAAATCCATATTTGACATGATAGAGCTGGGTGTCATCTGCATATTGGTGGACACTAAACCTCAAAACTCTGGACAATCTCTCCTAACAGTTTCATGTAGGTGTTCACAGGAGACAAAACAGAACCCAGATGGACACTGCAGACCACCTGCCAGGGTGCCGATCAGTACACATCTGACTAAAAGATGTTAAGTAACTTTCCGTCCTATTCAACTGAAGGCAGATCCTAGAACTTTGCCTTCTTCTGCCACAAACAATCACTCAGCAGCTGAAGTCACATTGCCTGCCTCCAGCTGCCAACCCTTCCTGACCTCCAAGAAGCTCCTTTCACCCCAGCACTTCTATTTCTAAATTGATCACTCATAGCAGATCAGCATTTGCAAATGAGACATAAATGCACCTAATGGCTAATGCTGTAATTGATTTATTTTCCTCCTCCCTATCTAGAGTCAGTCAACTCATTCCTGGAGGGCAGAAGTAGTATGGAGTGTGTTGTGGAAAACTCTGCTGGAGCGGATGCGCTTACTCAGATAAATGAAGAAGATAATGTCCTAAGACACTGAAAAGTCCTATTATCTCAGCTTAATCCCAATGATGTCTTAAAGTAGTATAATAGTTCATCACATGACCAATATGGCTAATAAAGGCGGTAGCAGGGATATTGTCAGGGCTTCTCCAGTTTTGTGTTATTTCGTTGATGAGGTTCTGGCAATGTGAAGCAAACATCATTTATAACGCTCACTATATTCTCTAGGTGCTTTGATTATATTTTCCCCTTCCTAGTAGAATGGAAGAAAGAAAATTTACATTCCTACCTACATTTTAATCATTCAAGGCAGATTCCCTAGAAATTATTGCATCACTATTGTATTGCATTCCCATACAAACTACATTAACATTTCAAGAATGAATTGCCCCAAAGATGTATACAAAAATATCTCTATTAAAAAGGAAATGTGTTTTTTCTCTTTGTCTTTCAAGAACAGACTTCTTTTTCCAGCCAAGATGGCACTGTCTCTGTTATGAGATTCTCTAATTCTAAGCAAATTGTATTGCTCTGTATATCGACATTTTAGATATTTACTCCTCAAATTTACACCCTGATTCCTTAGAAGCACAGAAACCATACTTCTGTGTTTTTGTTTGTTTTATGAGACATAGTAGAGATTCCCCTGACTTGTGTTTTTAATCCCATATTTTACAGAGAAGGTTTAATGCTATATTGCGCAAAGAACTATCAGCAAGAGCTCAGAACTATCAGCAAGAGCTCAGAATTGTCTTTGTCTATCAACTCTGGGATATTTTTTATTATTATTATTATTTGTCATTTCAGAACATGGGAGGATGTGAAGCCATATTCAAATTATATTCTCGTATCTTGGTTTCTTCACAGCTTTATATCCTGGTTTCCTTTAAAGTAATTCACCTCATTTTCATGTTTGGATAAAATGGAAAACGGCGATTAATTGACAACTTCCTACTTTTCATTGTTGGCTTGCACAAACAGCCTTCATGAAACAGACATTCACTCAGAAGTAGGCTTCTTAAATGAAGCAATG